GTCCCTCGCTCAGGCTTTGGCGGGTTGTAGGCTTGCTCTGCCTCTCCGCACTGGAGCTGCCGGCACACCACGCTGGCATCGTTCAGGTCCCACTGGTCATCCAGAACTCGGCTCCACGTCCCATGCAGGAGCATCTCCACTCGCCCTTCACACCGGTTCCTTCTGTGCACCAGCCGCAGGGATCCTGAGGGCCCTGGCCGGAGAGAGAAGAAATGTCCTCGACCATCTGTGACAGTGGGGTCCTGCACACTGCTGTGTATCTCCCATTTCTGACTGAATACTCTGGAGCTCACCCATCTGTACCCACCTCAGTGAGGAGCTCAAGGATGGGAGTTTTGTGAGTGGTTTCTTCTTTCTTTAATCACTAAACCTGGATCACCTAGCTATATGTGAGCCCAGGAAAGCACAGAGATGGGAAAGCATGGGAGGTCAAGGCAAATGCCAGAGCATATGTCCTACAGAGCCCATAAAGAGCAGCTCAGCAGGAGGAGGTGGTGACCTATGCAGTGGTCTGGCCCACTGAGGGCCAGATCACGAGTCTTGCTCCTTGTCCCTGCGCTGGCACTTGGAATGCTGAGATACTTCGAGGAAAGGCCAAATGTCCCTCTGCATACCTATGGATCAGGGAATGGGAGCTTGTGTCTTTGGAAGCAGAGTGAGAGGGACCTTTCTGAAAAGACAGCATGAGTTTGGGGCTAATGCTGCAAGAAGCCAGGGCAAATCCCAGTCCTGCTGTGAAGCTTATCCCCTGGGATTGTTCCTGCTGGGTACACCCAAGCTTTGGGCTCCTGCGTCTCGTACAAGGGGTAAATTTAGGTAATCTGGCATTTTCCCTGCACTTACCTGAGCAAAAAACACCAGCATTATTGTCAGGTGAGCATGGGGACACCCCCAGAGCAGTCACAGAGCACTGTTCCAGATTGGTCTCAGTCCCATCACAGTGGAGAGTGTCTCTCCAGACAGGACCAGTTCCTCTCCCAAAGTGCCCTCCTGCAGGAATGGTCTCAGCAAATCCACAGTTGAGTTGATGACAGAGAACATGAGCGTCAGAGATGTCCCAGCCATAGTCACAGAGGGTTCCCCAGGTCCCCTCCACCTGGACCTCCACCCGTCCCGAACACGCTGTGCTGCCATTCACCAGCCTGAACCCTGGATATATTGCAAAGATGATAGAGGACAATTAGAGAAGATCCCTTTGGACTCCTGCTTATCCATCAGTGAAGAGGGAAATGCCACAGAGGTGCAATCCCATCTCCTTCAGGATTACAGGAGAGAAGGATTACAGACACTGACCTCACTCCCCACTCTGTCCACACCATGCACAGTCACCTCCCCACACCCTCTGCCCCATAGTGCACATCTCATGGGTGGCATTTCATGCCTTCTCCCCAGATGCTCACGTGTGCAGGTGACACCAGCGTCGTTTGCGTGGGTGCAGGTGTGGTTGCTGATAGACCTCCTGGGGCAGGAGGAGAGGAAGGGCTCATTCCCTGCACACTGCAGCTCTTCATCCCAGATGGAACCGCCCCCCTGTCCAAAGTGAGCTCCCCCATGGATAGACAGAGCTATGCCGCACTGCAGATCCCTGCAGATAACTTCAGCAGCTTCGAGGCTAAGGTGTGAGTCACACACTGTTTTCCACTGGCTTTTATCTATGATCTCCACGCGTCCTGAGCAGGAGCTGCCGTCCCCATCCAGTCGGACAAATCCTGGAAAAAAACACCAATGACATGGGTTGCCACAGGCTTCCAGCAGTTACATGCCTGCATCCCACATGATCTCTGAGGCAGCCACATCCAAAATGTCCCGTGAACACCCTGGCAGCAGCTGTCATAGGGTGTTGATGGAACAAGCCCTCAGATCCGCCCAACCTTCTCCCTGCTGAGAAAACCCTTCAGTTGTCTGAGGGGCCTGAAGGGCCCCAGCCACCTCATGTTGTTGCCCAGCCACGGGGTGCTGAGCAAGTCATCCCTGGTTTTCAGGCCATGGGGACCCTCAGCACTGCATGATGAGTCCTGGCAGAACAGGAAGAGATTGATGGAGACCAAGAGACCCTGTGGGGCTGAGTAGGGGATTCATCTCCCAAGGCATCACCTGAGGATGACTGAACCCCTGCGACCTGATGGGATCTGTGCACGCCATGGTGGGAGCACCCAGGGCTTTCCCCAAGGACATCAGGAGCAACAGTCCCAGCATGGCAGCAAGAATAGCCAGAGCAGGGCCTGTGCTGGTCCACACGCGTTTCTCCTGCAGGGTTCAGCCAGGTGGCCCTGATCCCAGCCCTGACCCCAAAGGCGAGGAGCTGGCTGACTCCTTACTTGAACAAATGACTCCAGAGTCCCAGCCGTGACCGCAGTAGTGCTTGCCCCATTCCTCATGGCTGCACTCGGAGAGGTCAGCCTCGGTGCCTTGGCAGTGGACAGAGCTCAGCCAAATGGGGTCAGATCCTCGCCCAAAGTCGGCGTTCCAAAAGGCCTGGACCGCTGATCCGCAGCCCAGCTGCTTGCAGACCACGGCAGCACCTTTGATGTCCCAGCCGTAACTGCACACCGTGCCCCACCGGCCCTCGTGTTTCACCTCCACTCTCCCGGCACAGCGTCTGCCTCCATCCGCCAACCTCACCTCTGCAGCACCTTCACACGCAGACACGGGTTGAGTTAGAAGAGACCATGCTGCAGAAACCCTCCTGGACACCCCGGGGGGTTGGATGTGTCCTGGGGATCGCTGAGCGCTGCAGTCACGAGCTGACTTGCTGTCAGCTCCAGGGACACGACACAGTGCTTGGGAACAGGGCATTGCATCCCCAGGGCTGCCCAAGGATGGGATGTCTCTAAACACACCCCGGCACCCGCTGCTATAAGCGCAGAGCCCTGGGATAACATCTTCTCCCATCTGTAGGGGCACCATTTGGGTGGATGGACTTGAGCACCTTCTGCCCCTTGCCTCATGGGGCTGCAGGGGGGACCCCTGTTTTCACCGGGATGCCAGTGTCCTCTCTGGTGCCTCTTGGCCCCGGGGCTGTGGGACAAGGAAGCAGAGATGCACTTACCCCTGCAGAGATGCACCCAGAAGAGCAGCCACAGCAACCGAGGGATGAGGAGCCCCTCTGCCTCCATCCGCAGCCTCCTGCCCTGACGGCGCTGCCCTGCTGCACCCTGACTCTGCCACAGATCAACGGGACCTTCTGCAGGGCAACAAAGACGGGGGGCCAATATATATCTGCAGATGCTGGGCCAGCTCCTGGGTGAGCCAATCGAAGCAGCAGGCACCTTTTCAGACATTTATCAGAAGTCATCTCCCATCTGATACAGCACAGCCCTCCAATGAACTTCTCCAGCACTGTTCATGACCATATATGAGGGATGGCTCTGCTGCGGATGTCACCGTTGCTGCACTGGGGCATCGTCAGAGGACCCACTGCTGTGGGATGGGGTAAATCATGAGGGGGGAAATCCCTCTGTCGCCCCTTGTTTTCCAATGTGTAATCTGATAGTTTTGAGCATCTTGTCCTCTGTGGGTACCCAAGTGCCCAAGGTGCACGTGTCCAGCTGTCCCTGTACCATGGGGACCGTGAATGTGGCAGGAAGGGAATGAAACAGCCCCTGACCCTGCTACATCCCCACTCTGCTGGGAGCAGCAGCGGTGAAAGGCCTCTTTGCCATGGCCAAAGGCACATCCCGTGGTTGCAGCACTGTCCATCCTTCCCAGGACATCCCGGCTGTGGGTGCCTTGGTCAGGAGCAGGGAGCTGGAGCATCTCACTCCTCTGACAGCAGACAGGGCAGCCCAGGCATTCAGACCTGCCCTCCCCCAGCTCTCAGGGTGTTCACCCAAGAGCCCGTTACTCCCTTGCCGGGGCTGATCGGCAGATCAAAGCCTCTGCTGCAGGTGCACAAACCACAGCCCCGGCAGCCTGCGCCATGCTCTCCCTGCAGCAGCGACCGAACCGGGAAGATGGTGGTTTCTCTCTGGGCTCAGTGTCACTGCGTGTAGCCACTGTGGCAGCTCCAGACCTGGTCTTGCTCCCAAGGATGGGGCTGCAGGGGCTGCTCCTGCTCCCTTGGAGGGGGCTTTTTCATCGCAGGTGACCAAACTTCTCCTGGGCTCATGGACTTGGAGCTGGCGAGCAAAACTGGTGGTCCCCTGTGCACCAGTGCTCACATCACTGCTGCACTGTGGGGCTATAGGCACTTGGCACCCCTCCGTCTCTAACTGCTGTCTCATTGCATATCACCATTGCCGCAGAACAGCACGCACATTTCAATGCAGATTTCTCCTTAGTTGTGCTGCATCTCACACCATCACACCTTTCTACTGCTGCTCACTTTCATGCACATCAATAGCATTGCACTTTCACGTGCGATTAAGAGTTTTACTTTTCTACTTACTGAGATTTTTTTTTCTCTTCAGAAATGTACAGGGATAGTATTAGGCTCTTGAATATCATCACAGTTTCCTCTTTTTTCACATTACAGTATTCCCTTTAATGTGATGCTGCCCTTATCATTTCAGGAGAACTTCTGTCTCAGTTCCCAGCCTTTCTCCCTTTCTCTTCCCTTGCCACAAGTACAAGGCTTGGAGTTTCATTTTGAGGTCACTTCATAGCCCCTTTGCCACTTGAGAGGACAAGTGTATAAAACGTCATTTTTGCAGGCCCTGATGCTTGTGAGGGGGACTTGAACCACTGCAATATCTGTAGGGCACAAGCAATCCACAAGGTTTCTTGAATGCATTGATGGCATAGCAGATTGACAGATTGACAGTGTTAAGGTTGGTGATCTACTGGCCGTAAAGGCCAAAGGCGTGAGCTTCCCCAACAGGACCTTGGCCTGCCGGCCGGTTGTTAAAGGTAGGTGATCTACTGGCCGTAAAGGTCAGAGGTGTGAGCTTCCTCAACAAGACCTTGGCACCCCACCGCTGCTCACATCAGAGTGCAGTGGGACACTGTGGAAATGAGAACAGCCTGGAAAAAAGGAAGTCCTGCTACTGTTGGTGACCACGTCACTTGGAAAGTTGCAGCCCCCACCCAATGACTGTAGCAAGCAGATGCCTCCTGTGGTAGTGAGTGGATGGTCTTGAAAACCACAGAGTCTGTTCCTGCAACCTGCATCCAGATTCTCTTCTCTACCTGTCCTGCTCTGCTTTGGAGCATGGTAGAGGGAAGGGACCAACACACACTGACTGTGGCCTGAGGATCTGAGCTCTCCTAATGGACACGGGACCCACGGCTTCACCCTGTCAGCATTCATGTGAGCCTAACTCTGTCCCCCTGAACTCCCTTGGGTGCCAATTACCAAAAGAGACATAGCAAAGGAAAATGCTTCTCATTGCACTGAGGGCACCTGAGGGAGCTCAGATCAGTGGGCAATGAGGTTCCTGCATCTCTGCTGAAGCAGAGGGAAGCCTGGCTTCCTCCTTCAGTAGGCTCTCTGGGTTAGATTCAAATGAAAGGTTCCTGGAGATGTGACATGAATGGGAACATTTTTTTCTTTTAACATGGGAATAGAAAAGTCCAATTCCCAGTGGCATCCCCATTACCTGAAGCTTCCTGACTGTCCCAACACAGTTTCTAGTCCTTGGTCATGATCTCTATGTATGTTCTTCAGGTGTTCACATGCATCCCTTTAGCTTCTGGCTGCTCATGTGAGGGGACACACAGGCCCCCCCCATCAGCCCCTGAGCACAGACCTTCACACTTGCCTCCTCTGCCCTCTCCTTTCAGCTCCATGCACTTGCATTCCAAGATGAAATACATGTCCTGCCCTGCCTCTGGCCCCCTAGCCCCCAGCACCTCAGAATGAGGCTTACAAGATCCGTAGAGGATGTTGTGTTATGTGTGTGAGTGTGGTTAAAAAAAGAAAATGCCATCCTGTTGAGTCAAGAGGATCAGAAAGGACCCCCTGCTTCCCAAGCTCAGAAAGGAGCCCGAGTGCAGCAAGGTTCAGTCTTAGTCCCAGACTTGGTTGATGGCTTCTGTCTGAAAGATCATGTGCAGCCACTCCTCAGCATCGTCATTTACCTGTCAGAACCCTCTCAGGGACATTCACTGACACAGTTTCACCAAAGCTGAAGAGACAGGTGATTTATTAAGGTGACAGGTATAACAGATTGGGAATTGCCATTGATAAATGCACTTACTGCAAAAGTCAAGCTTGAGTTAGTAGTTCAGACCTTTTTGTTCATAATACTTTCCTGGCTGACATCCACTATAGTCAGGGGTGGGAATCTTATCAAAGAGGCAACAGTGTTTGTGGAGGAAAGAGAGGTCCAGGCCTGTGAACCCATCTGATAGTTAGGAATTCTTGTCCTCAGAATGGAGGATCCTGAATGTCAGATTGATGCTCTTGATGACGTGAGACTAAGTCAATTAATCTGTGTCAATTGGCTCTTAACGGAGTGTGAGAGCAGAGAGCAAAGGTGTTGGTTTCTATCTTTACTGAAGCAACATCAGTCTGAGAGTCTGCCACCTTGTCCCAAGTGTCACTCAGTTGCTTTGAGCATTAGGCCACAAGCCACAACATCTGTCCTGGGAAATTTTTGCAGGATCACAAGTTGCTCAAGCCGAACCCCACTACTTCATGCTGATTGACAATGACTTTGACCTTTGACACCAACAAGCTGGGACAAGTCTGGTGTGCCCCAGGGGGTGAGGGTCTTTGGGTTACAAAAATGCATTACTCATAGGTCTCTGAGAGTTTCGAGAAACAGAGCCAACATCTTGTCCAAGTTCATTTGTTCAGCTATAGGTGAGTGCCTCTTCATTTGCAGGGACACATAGGTACTACAGGAGGATCTTTTTATATCAAGATCAAAAGAACTTACATTATATTTGTTTTGTAGACCTTTATAAAATACAGAAGTACAATTGGACAGGTATCCAGGCTCCTTCTGGCTTCTCATCTAAATATACTGCATCTTCAATTACTTTATCTTGTCCAAGTGCACTTGTGGCCTTGGTTCACCACCTTCATTATTTCTGACTACCATCCTCACATAGCATGTGCAAGTACATATGCCTTAGCTCTGCTACGGTTTCTATTCCTGCCATCCCATTTCAGGCTGTGTGCTAACTAACATCACTCTAATACAATATTTCAGCCATTAACTGTGTTCAGTTTTGGACCCCTCACTACAAGGAAGTCATTGAGGTGCTGGAGCGTGTCCAAATGAAGGGCAGCGGAGCTGGTGAAGAGATTGGAGCACAGAGCTGATGAGGAGTGACTAAGGGAGTTGGAATTATGTAATCTGGACAAGAAGAGGCTTAGAGGAAACCTTATTGCTCTCTATAACTACCTGAAAGGAGGTTTTGGTGAAACAGTGGTTGATCTCTTCTCCGAAATAACTGCTGATAGAACAAGAGAAAGTGGCCTCAAGTTGCACCAGGGGAGCTTCAGGTTAGATATTAGGACAAATTTCTACATGGATAGAGTGGTGAAGCATTGGAGCAGACTGACAAGAGAAGTGGTGGAGTCACTGTCCCTGGCAGTGTTCAAGAAATGAATAGATGAGGCACTTGGGGACATAGTTTAGCAGGCGTGACCTTGAAGGTTTACCGTTGGGCTCGATGATCTTGAAGGTCTTTTCCAACCATAATGATTCTATGATAATTAAACGATACAATGATTAAACCTCGA